GCTACTTTGATCGCATTAAGCTCCTGTTTTTTCCTTTTGGTATTGTGAGCTGGGAGTTCTTATTCTGACAATTACCGACCTTCAGCACACCGCGTAGTGCTGGGTAAACGACGTAATCGAAGAAGTACCGGCTACATTGGCACAATTCGCCGTTTCAGGCTGTGCTCACGTCAAATTTATTTTTTCAGTGTTAATCACACCTAAACAATGAAACGCGTGTCTGTAAACTGTGATCCCAGCTGTAAATGGCTAGATATAACGGGCAAAGTGTTTAAATTTTTGGAATTCGGTGCAAAAACGGGGAAAAAAGAAAACGATTGCCTGAGAGAGTGACCATGATTGCTATGATTTCTTATACCAGCTTTTCCCAAATTGACTAACTTTGCGGGCTTGCCAGATGCCACGTGAGCAACCCTCTAGCTCCAGCAGCGTCTGGCAAGACCTTGGGAAAATTAGCAAGGCCTTGGGAAATCAACTTCGTTGTTAAAGCCCGTGCGATAATCTTAAATTGATGGGATGAAACTAAAGAAAGATGGGGGATGCTTTCCACTTCATGCCGAAAAGTACAACCAATTTCGCATCCTGCATTAGTTATCGACTATCAGCTGGTCACAAAGTGGGTTTGTCAGCTAGCCGCCAGCGCCGGGTCGGCTAGTCGTCGGCCCAAAGATCAGCTGGCCCCAACCAAGCTTGACTCACATGAAGCGAGGCGAGAAGTTATGCACTGCTGGCTCCGCATTGCTTATGCACGGACAGCGCACAATTACCCGCCGTAAGTTTCACGGCGGCGAAAAGCACAGCCGCGGTCACCCGCTGTGTGGGCAAAGAAATGGCACAATGCAGCTTATTATTCTCGTTGGGATTTCCCTGTGACATTCAGCCGTAGGTATGCCTCAGCGACGAGCGGTTGTGCTACCCGGGACCACGCGCTGCCAGTGCACGGCATGGTGATCCATTACTGGACTGAACATTGCTGGATTACTATGAGGTGTGTGGTGTGTGATCATTCCGCGTTGGATTGATGCGGGCAATGTGTTCCGTGTTTTTTTTCGGGGCAATAACATGTGCCGTAATGCACCCACTAGATAAATGACATTTTTTACTCTCCCAAAATGACGCTGCCGGTGGACGTGTCCGTAACACCCAATGCAAACGAAACGGTGCTTGGAGTGTTGATCGCCCGGCCCTGCCATTCACGGCCTGAGCTGAGCCGCGACGAGCCTGCCGGCGAGACTGATGGCCGCGTGGGGTCTCTGTATCCCTTGGCACGTCGGTTACGCCGGGGCCTCCGGGCCCCCAGGATGCGGGTCACGCCGGGGCCTCCGGAGGCCCCCAGGATGCGGGTCACGCCGGGGCCTCCGGAGCCCCCAGGATGCGGGTCACGCCGGGGTCTCCGGAGCCCTCAGGGTGCGGGTCACGCCGGGGCCTCCGGAGCCCTCAGGGTGCGGGTCACGCCGGGGCCTCCGGAGCCCTCAGGGTGCGGGTTACGCCGGGGCCTCCGGAGCCCTCAGGGTGCGGGTCACGCCGGGGCCTCCGGAGCCCTCAGGGTGCGAGTCACGCCGGGGCTTCCGGAGCCCTCAGGGTGCGGGTCACGCCGGGGCCTCCGAAGCCCTCAGGGTGCGGGTCACGCCGGGGCCTCCGGAGCCCCCAGGATGCGGGTCACGCCGGGGCCTCCGGAGCCCTCAGGGTGCGGGTCACGCCGGGGCCTCCGGAGGCCTCAGGGTGCGGGTTGCGCCGGGGCCTCTGGGGCCCTCAGGGTGCGGGTCACGCCGGAGCGGGCCGGCCGCGGCTCGACGGTCATTGTTCATCTCACGGCCTGGAGGACCGCATCAATCTCCCGGGATTCAGTCACTAGGACTGAGCCAACTGGCCGGACTGGGCTTGCGTACGTCTCACGTACTGGGGTGGTGCCTATGCTATCAACGTTAGGGTCAGGGGTGTCTCATGTTGTTTTTTTGTTCTGGCTGCTTGCCTTCCGATCGAGAGAAGACGGTGGCCGTCTCTGATGTCAGTTGGTTGATGACGCCCCTCCGGCATTCTTAGACAGCTCGGATGGCGCCCACTTTCGTGGAACTGCCTGAGATTCACTGAACTACCAGCTGGGGCGCCACGTCACCAGACTCTGTTGGCGGCAGATATGCTCTGACTGATTGGTGTGACACGTGTGGCCAGCGCGCTTGCCACCGTTAATTCCGCGGAGTCATGTGTGAATGGGGGTCTGGGCAGCGCTTGTCTGCTGACTGCCCGGGCGTGAGACCGCCTCAACACGGCGCCGCGCCCATCATGGCCACGCCTCGTGACGAATCGGGGCCACCTCCCACACGCGCTCCAGCTGGATGCACTTTGATTTAGTTGTGGGTTAGATGATGAGTTGACGCTACTCGGTCGCTTTGGAATACTGACATGGATGTGTTTGCGGAATGAATAGAATCGTTGTGCGTGTGCATTTGGAGAAATATTGTTATGAAGTGGATCAGATACTATGTCGTAATTGTTTGTGGATGATTGCATTAGGTCAACAAAGATTGGTGACCTGAATAGGCGCACCGTCATGGAACCAGAAATTACCCGTTTTCGTTTTTCGTTTTTTTTTTGTTTTCGTTTTTTCGTTCCGTTGCGTTTTCGCGAGGGCATGAGACATGGTGTGCGGGTTGTTTCCATTATTTCAAGACGGTTTGGAAGCGCTGGGTCAGGTCAAACCCGTTCGTGGCTATTACATATTTCAATTGATGTAATGCGAAATGAATCGAATCTTGCATCATCACAGGCATCACTTCTTTGAGCCCCCCCCCCCCCCCCCCAAGAAGTGTTTTGAATGGCAGAGCACACTGTTCGTTCGCAGACGTCAAGCTTTACAGAAAACTCATAAATTTGTCTATACTTTGAATTATTAATTTCGTAAATGAAACGTGTGCATCCACTGCGGGGCACGACGGGCGCGTGCTGACCGAGCCATGCGCGCAGAGGGCCTCGACGCCAGCGTCGAGGCGTCGAGGCACGGCGCTCGCCGCGCGAGTCGCCGGCAGCCGTCTGCTGGGTCCGGCTCGGCGGCGCGGGTCGACGCGACTTTTTCCGGCGGTACCCCGCGGCGCTCATTACGCGCGCTCGTTACAGGGCCAGTGCCCGCCCCGCCCCGCCCCGCCGCCCCCCGTCCTGATCTGGCCCGGCCGGAGCGGCGCGCGGCTCCATATGGCCGGGCTGGGTGGCACGCGCCGCCGCCGGAAATAGTGGCGAGCTCTGTCGGCCGGACCCCGGAGACAGGTCTATTTTTGATTCAGGTGTGCGCTTCCTCTGCCGTTGACTACCTGCTGGGGAGCAACTTGTTTCCGTTGAAACGTGCGCACTAACCCGGTCAATACCGCGACACATTCCGTGTTTTTTTTGTGTTATCCATGTTTTTTGCAAGTATACTGTAGTAGGAGACCAGGTGAAAGTAGGGAAGAAGATGGTGGTAATTCGGCAACATATTTTTATTGAAATGAATATCGGTGGTGAATTATTATCGATAGAAATTACTGCTGATATTCGTTTCGATAAAGACATGTAGCCTAAATATCAATGCATCTATCTTTCCTTTCTCTAGGTCACTTTGCTAGAAATAAGGCTAAGAGTATTGCCTTATGGCAGATACACTTATGCAGCATCATGGACACCTCACAAATGCAATTAGCAACTGGCAAATGTGCTGCAGTTTCACCGTTACCGACGGCTGAGGAGCTGCACTAGGCTTTGCATAAATGTGTGCTCGACCATTACATAGATATGATATCCCGAGCTGTTGCCAGAATCCGGTTGTCCACTTTTTCATTTCGCTTCACATGGCCCCGCTGCTGTACCTGGAATACTGTGTCTTATGACGTGCCGTCCAGCTTCTCATCTCCAGATATTGAACATAGAGGCCAGTCGTTGAGCCAGTGGCCTTGCTTTTAGAGCCGGCGCGCCGCCTGTCGCATTTTGTTAGAGGTGTTACTGGCTGGTTGCCGTGCGAGGCAGACCGCTGCTACGGCTGAGGGAACAGGCTGTATACAAAAGTCCACTTGTGCGTTTAAGAGTGTGCTTTCAAAGAGAACAGACTCGCACGGGTTCGTAGTAGTTTTGTGCTGTCAGTGTTTGGATATTCAAGTGAATCAGACCTGAGAAGCATACGGAGGCGTTGTACTTACCCAAGGGTGTAGTTTTGTATGCTGTTCGAGAGCCTACAGTCCTCCCAACTTTACCGTCCTTCCAAATTGGAAAGAGAAGCTAGATCCGTCGACAAATTAGACGCGGCATGTAGATGGGCACAGTTGTCATCTTCACCTGGCTCCATTCTCCCCCGAACTCATTTTTCAAAACAACGACCTTAATGTGCATTTGTCATATGCTGGCGAGCTTAAGGTGTTGATGGATCCCTGGCTTGAAATCGGGAGTAGACACTAGACTTGTTTACATAGGGAATTGAAAATGTTGCCAGATTGCCACCAAAGCTGGCCAGCTGTGGGGTTTTTAGTTTTTGTGCACCCACATTGCTGGTAACGTGGCGCTCTTGAGTCAAGCTGTGCAGCGTTGTGTTATCGCATTGAAGTACCTATTATAAAAACCTTACCCGCTTTCCGGGAAATGGTAATGTACGTATTTCGCCTGTAGTATCGGTAACTTTTCACTCACAGATTTGTCTTGTGACGACCATCCGGTGTATGGTCGGTCTGTTCTGTTGCCGTGTTTAACCCTCCCTTCGCCGCCGTGTCTGACTCCTCCCTCCGCTTCGGTGTCTGATCCCGCTCCCCGCTGTCGTGTCTGACCTGTCCCTCATCGGTCGTGTTTAACCTTTCCCTTCTCTGTCGGTCTGACTTCTCCCTCGTCTGCCGTGCCTGACCCCTCCCTCCAATGGTCGTGTCCGACCCCTCCCTCCCCTGCCATGTCTGACTCCTCCCTCCGCTGCCGTGTCTGACTCCTTCCACTGGTCGTGTCTGACCCCTCCCTGCGCTACCGTGTGTGACCCCTCCCCCCGTTGCCGCCAGGGGGCGAGTCGTCGCCGTCGCCGGCCACCGCGGTCGCCGTGCCGCGTTTCCTGTTGCGGGGCGTGGGCCGTGACGCCCACTTCGAGTACGAGGTGCGCGTGACCGTGCCGGGCGAGCGGTACACCATCTACCGGCGATACCAGCGCTTCCGCGACCTGCAGAAGTACACTGTGCAGCGGTACGGTGAGCCGGCCAGCGCCGCCCGTCTGCCGCCCGCCCGCCTCTTCGGCCGCACATCGGAGGCGCTGGCCACGGAGCGGCGCGGACAGCTGGAGGTGCGTGGGCTCCGGCTTGGTGGGCTGGTGGCCGGCCAGGCGTGCTCTTGTGGCTGGGTGGGAGTGTCTGGTAGCGCCAGGTGGGTGGCCCCGTGATCGAATGATGGGGTCTGCTTGGGCAGGATCTGCACGCGCCGAAGGCGGTGGCGCTCTGTTGACGTTGGATGACATAGTACGTAATGACCATGGAGGCGACTCGCGGCGCGCGCGTGGGCCGTGCTAAAGACGCTGCTTGGCACACGGGTGGACTGCGCCGTACAACTGTGCGTCACGGCGGGTCAGTCTACCCTACCGGGCGTCCCGGCGGCCGCAGCCGGCGCTGCTCTGCGACCGGACAGCCGCACTAATAACATTTTCTGACTCAGTCTGTAGTACTGCAGTCTTGTGTACCACTTTTATTGCTCCATATTTTGATAAATACTGCAGAGGCTGGTGATTATAAAAAGTGTCTTTTCTGCAAGTCCTGAATATCATTAAGTTTTAATCATCAGTTGGCTTGGGAGCATTGCGAGTCAGCACAGTTCGGGTGCCATTTCGGTCTCCGCAACCAGGTTTATGAATGATGCATGGAACTCAATAATGTTTTTTATTATGGCCTTTGTCAAACAACACCTCAGTAACCCAGGGATAGAGCAGCAAAAGTGACGCGTCATGCTGAACCACTCCAAAGCTGCAGCAATTTCGTTTTCGATTCCATCCATGGCAAGCTAGAAACGTAGGGTGTTTATCCGGACTCCAGAGCTCATCCGAAGGACCCCCAACTGGTGACAAAATATTTGAACCAGTACTGCGACAAGGGAACGGGCTGAACGTTTCAAAATTGCTCTTAAACGATCAGAAAATATTGAAATCAAGTGCAAACAATTGCTGGCGCGGTAAACTACCCCAACTCTTGGGAATCTGAGCTGAAAATTTGAGCGCTAGTTTGGTACTCCGTTTCCCTTCGTTGGGAGAGGCCGAAATAAGGAAAGGTCCTTCGCATGTTTGGGTTATTATCAAGCCCAGCATGTGAGGCTGATTTCTGGTGAAGTTTTTTTCTGTGAGCTCTGCCCGGAAAAGGATGAACATAAGAGCCTCGGCTTTTTGCTTCTCTGTAAAACATTAAAGGATCATGGATTGGTAAAGTATTGCTTTGTTTGCGCCAAGGTGACGCTTGTAGGAACTTTGGTATGATGTATCGGCCCACGAATAAGGGACCAAAATTATGAAAGGAGTCCAAAACTGTCGGCCCAAAATCAATCTTTCAAGTTGTCATTTTCCACCCGGAATCCAAAATTTGGCCCCCTGCTGCGAGCGTTAGTGCGTCGCGCGGGCCGGCCGGCCGGTGAGTCCGGCACACCGCTAAAGCTAGGCGGCGCTGACAGAGCGGCCCCGGCCCAGCTCACTGGCGGTCGGTCAAGGCTTCCGCCACCTTGGCACACATTCTCCCTGTCCTGTGATGCGGCATGTGACTCGTCGGTGCGGACTCTGAGCTCCTTGGTTGTGGACTGTCGACCCATCGGCATAGGTATGTAATTTTGCAACGCAATTGGTGCGGGTCGCGGGAGGGGATCCACGTGAAGACCACTTAAAGGACCCCCATTTTCAAGCAAAGTTCAGTGTCTCAGTGGATTAACCCGCTTCTCGTCCAAAGTTGGGAAGGGCAAGGGTTTGGAACGGCCCCGAGTGAATACTAAACTACACCTGTGCCTTAGGCAGCTCCCCTCCTCCCCCTGGATGTGCGGCGCGCGCGCTGCGGTCGAGTCGTCCTTAGATCACTGTCGTCGGCCCTGGAGGGGGGGGGGGGGGGGGGGGGTCGATAACGCACGTCGGTCGGCCTACCCCGCTGGCGGCGGCGACCGGCCGGCCAGCTATTGATTGCTCTGGGTCGGCGGCGGCCGCCGGGGCCGCGCTCCGGGCCGCCACCCACTCACCACGCACGCACCGCTGCGGCCCGGCACTGCGCCTGGCGACGGGGCACGGGGCCACGGATCGGGCGCCGCCGCCGCCCGACCTACCGCGTGCGGGTGCGTGCCGTGTGCAGCGCCGCTGCAGCTCGGGAGAAGGGCTGGACCGGTGCTGAAGGTCGGGAGAAGGGCTGCACCGGTGCTCAAGGTCGGGAGAAAGACCGGACGGGTGCTGAAGGTCGGGAGAAGGGCTGGACCGGTGCTGAAGGTCGGGAGAAGGGCTGGACCGGTGCTGAAGGTCGGGAGAAGGGCTGGACCGGCGCTGAAGGTCGGGAGAAGGGCTGGACCGGTGTTCAAGGTCGGGAGAAGGGCTGCACCGGTGCTGAAGGTCGGGAGAAGGGCTGGACCGATGCTGAAGGTCGGGAGAAGAGCTGGACCGGTGCTGAAGGTCGGGAGAAGGGCTGCACCGGTACTGAAGGTCGGGAGAAGGGCTGGACCGGTGCTCAAGGTCGGGAGAAAGACTGGACGGGTGCTGAAGGTCGGGAGAAGGGCTGCACCGGTGCTGAAGGTCGAGAGAAGGGCTGCACCCGGTGCTGAAGGTCGGGAGAAGGGCTGGACAGATGCTGAAGGTCGGGAGAAGGGCTGGACCGGTGCTGAAGATCGGGAGAAGGGCTGCACCGGCGCCGAAGGTGGGGGCGCGCGCGCCGTCACATCATGTCACTGACACTGCAGTATCGGCCAGTTTGTCGCTGTGGGGTGGGACGTGGCAGCGCAGAACATGAAACCACGGCCCGTTGTGCCGCACTCGGTGAAGCCGCCACCTCACCAGGATGTATAGGTGGTTGAGATCAGTACTGCCAGGCTGAGAGCCCGCTCCCACCGCTAGCGACGCAGGCGGACACGTGGTGCGTAGTGGCTCATGGGTAGTTAGGATCAGTGCTGCCAGGCTGAGAGCCCGCTCCCACCGCTAGCGACGCAGGCGGACGCGTGGTGCGCGGTGCCTCATGGGTAGTTAGGATCAGTACTGCCAGGCTGAGAGCCCTGCTCTCGCCACAAGCGACGCAGGCGGACGCGTGGTGCGCGGCGCCTTTTGTGTGCATGCGCGGCGCTGGCGGCTGTGCGTGGATCCGCCAGGGTGGGACAAGCTCGCCAACAGTCATTTAGTTGGGGATGTGGCCAGGGCTGAGCAGCGCTCCGGGCGACCATCCCCGTTACGTCACCAAAACGGCGATAGTTTGGCATGGTATTACATTACTCGAACCCCACAAAGCTTTAAATAATCGATTATACAAAATGTAGTACAGCTCAGCAGTGACATGTCGTGGCCAACCTGATAAATTTGCTGTCTCAGGAACGATCTTAGAAGTACTGCAAACAGCATTTGCCGTACACCGAGCGGGGAGACGTTGACACACATGCCGCCTGCTTTACATCAGTCAACATGGTTCGCCCAAGCGCCGGCGTAGTTGCTTCCAACGAATGCTGACGGACATCGTAACCGACTGGACAACTTATCCGACAAACCTGGCGCTGAAACAACTCCCGCGAGGACGGTACCGGAAGGAACGTTCCGGCGGCGGGACCATTTGCTGTCGAGCTGCCCTGAAACTCCAAAGCAATGCACGGCTGGCGCGATTAACAGCAGCCAAAAAGTGCGTGCAGCAGCAACCCAAGCATATCTAATGGACCTTTGTATATAATTTTCACCGATTTGCACGATCATTGACTCATCAGTTCATCATTAACGATCAGTTAGTATGATTCAGCGGTTTGAGATTAAAAAAAATAGGTTGTAGTATTATGTTAATACAAAAATAGGATGCAGCATTATGTTAACACGACATTAATGCCGGTCGCGTAATCAGTGTAACCAAAAGTCTCTTAATGACAGCTCTTTGCAGAGGCGGGTGGACGAGAAATGTCCTGTTGTTTGACCGCTGTTGTAAGCAGACGCAGGTAATCGGCCGACCTCGCTGACAGGTTCTCCTCTGTTTAAGTTAATGGTGTCATGCCTATGCTGACATTTTAGCCCGCTGTCCAATGGGAGCTTTCGTCACAGTTACAGTGACGTCTGAGCCAATCAGCAGGTGGCCGCGATAAGCCACAGACTGTCAAGCGCCGAGACCGGATGTCGAGCGCTGGACAGATGGCGCCGCCGATAAATATGGAACGCAAGGCGGGCTCATTCTGCCAGTTTTCTCAAGTATCACACTTGGAGCAGTGTTGGACACAGCAAGGAGTTGCACAACTTCTACAAGGTTTTCGAGAGCACACAAGGCTAGTATAGCAAAATCGGTTTCCGCGCAAGTCCTCGCATTGCAGACTACAGGCTACAGGGCACGACGCCTGGCGACACTGATTCGCTATCTCGGGCTGAGCGGGGCCGCGTGCCCGTGATGCGCCGGCGGTCGGCGGCAGGCGGCTGCTCGGCTCTGCGGGGCTGCCAGCGTCAGCTGCTGAAGCGGCGTGTTTGTGTCGTCCCCGTGACTGGAGTACCGCGCCGGCTGACAGGCCTGTCCTCCCCTCGCAGGAGTACTTGCGCCAGCTGTTGGAGCGGCGTGTTTGTGTCGTCCCCGTGACTGCGGAGTACCGCGCCGGCTGACAGCCCCGTCCTCCCCTCGCAGGAGTACTTGCGCCAGCTGTTGGAGCGGCGTGTTTGTGTCGTCCCCGTGACTGCGGAGTACCGTGCCAGCTGACAGGCCCGTCCTCCCCTCGCAGGAGTACTTGCGCCAGCTGTTGGAGCGGCGTGTTTGTGTCGTCCCCGTGCCGGCTGACAGGCCTGTCCTCTCCTCGCAGGAGTACTTGCGCCAGCTGTTGGAGCGGTGCGCGACCCTGCCCGGCTGTCCTCTGAACCAGGGCCTGTCACGGCGCTCGCTGGCCGACTTCGCGCCGTTCTTCCAGCGAGGCGTGTTCGAGTTCACGCGCGCCATGACCTCGTGACCGGGCTGGCAGCTGCCCTGCCGGACTTCCCGCCCGCCCACCGCGTGCCTTATTTATTGTGTGTGAGTGCTGTGCGATGGAATGGTTTATCATGTCATTGGGCGTGAATTGTGAGATCTGATCCAGGATAGCTGTAATGTGTTGTGACATTGCATTGGAAGCAAGGGGTTGACGTTATTACGCACATTTGGCATTGAAACGCTTTCTGTAGTGTGTGCTGAGGTTTATTGCGTGTGGTTTGGGCGGGGTTTTCTGCTGGGTTTGTGTTGTCCGTCCACGACCTGCATGCAACGGGTAAGCGTTATTAGATGTAAAACAAACTAAGTATTTATACATTATTTAGCATAGAGTTAGATAGAGATGCAAACTTTTCGCTTTATTAACGGGCATTCGCTTCAAAGGAGGAAATAGGTTGAAATCAAACAAAGCCTGCATATTTAATATCAGCTGCTTACATCATCCAGATGTGTACGATCTGCTGTGAAGGTCTGCTGTTATCGGCCCACGTCGGTAGATGGTCGCGTGTGGCCGGCACCCGCGGGCAGACCACCCGGGATGGTCCTGCCTGGCCGGCTCTCCGGGACCGCTACCGGCCGGCGGCAGCGTCCGCCCACCGTCGGTAGGGAAGCGCTTCAGGCCAGGGAGGGTCGGGCTGTCTTGGCACAGGATAGACGCCGTGCGAGGCCATGTTAGTTTGGGCTGTCTTGGCACAGGATAGACGCCGTGCGAGGCCATGTTAGTCTCCCATCGCGTGAAAAACAGGTCGAACACCCGTTGCTTTATAATGTGAGCTTATGTGATTGCACTGCGTTTAGTGTAGACCCGCGAGACAGGTACGTCAAATGATGGTTGGTGTGCCCACCGTCTATCACTCACCGCTTTAATTTGAGCCATTAGGATGTGTTTGCTGTCGTCCCCCGCGGAGCCATGCTGATGGCGAAGCTTGATGGTCCTATTCACCGAGCTGCGGTAACGGGACACCTTCAATGCCATGGTGCCAGCGTCGGCCGATGCCAGCTGGCAACGACTCACGACGGTGCGCGGGCGCGATCGCACTGGCTTCCTCCTTGGCGGTCGTGACCCGTCGTGACCGGTTTTATCGTGATGTCACGAGCTCGGCTGCGGGGGGAGGGGGGGGGGGGGCGGCCGCCCGTACGGTCCGCCGGAAATAGGAGGGGATGATGACATGTCGTCTTGGCCGCCGAACCGTCCCCTCCTCCCCCGCCTGTGCCGGCCGGGACGCTTCCTAGTCGGGGCGGGCCACTGTGAGAGGCGGTCTCGGTCGGTTCGGGTCCGGCAGCAGTACAAGCACAGTCTTCCCCCGGTCTCTGGGCCGGCTCGGGTCCGGCAGCAGTACAAGCACAGTCTTCCCCCGGTCTCTCGGCCGGCTCCAGCTCGATAACAGTTCACGTACAATCAGTTTTCCCCGGTCTCTCGGCTGGCTCCGGTCCAGCAGCAGTTCACATACAATCAGTCTTCCTCCGGTCTCTCGGCTGGCTCCAGTTCGGCGGCAGTTCACGTACAATCAGTTTTCCCCCGGTCTCTCGGCTGGCTCCAGTCCGGCAGCAGTTCACGAATAATTCATTCGGTAGCAGTTCACGTACAATCAATTTTCCCTGGTCTCTCGGCTGGCTCCGGTCCGGCAGCAGTTCACATACAATCAGTCTTCCTCCGGTCTCTCGGCTGGCTCCAGTTCGGCAGCAGTTCACGTACAATCAGTTTTCCCCCGGTCTCTCGGCTGGCTCCAGTCAGGCAGCAGTTCACGAACAATTCATTCGGTAACAGTTCACTCACAGTCAGTTTTCCCCCGGTCTCTCGGCTGGCTCCGGTCCGGCAGCAGTTCACTCTCAGTCAGTCTTCCCCCGGTCTCTCGGCTGGCTCCAGTTCGGCAGCAGTTCACGTACAATCAATTTCCCCCGGTCTCTCGGCTGGCTCCGGCCCGGCAGCAGTTCACGCACAGTCAGTCTTCCCCGGTCTCTCGGCTGGCTCCGGCCCGGCAGCAGTTCGCATACAATCAGTCTTCCTCCGGTCTCTCGGCTGGCTCCGGTCCAGCAGCAGTTCACGCACAGTCAGTCTTCCCCGGTCTCTCGGCTGGCTCCGGCCCGGCAGCGGTTCACGCACAGTCAGTCTTCCCCCGGTCTCTTGGCTGGCTCCGGCCCGGCAGCAGTTCACATACAATCAGTCTTCCTCCGGTCTCTCGGCTGGCTCCGGTCCAGCAGCAGTTCACGCACAATCAGTCTTCCCCCGGCCTCTCGGCTGGCTCCGGTCCAGCAGCAGTTCACGCACAACCAGCCTTCTTTCGGAACGCCGGTCTCCGCCCAGTGGAGACCTCGCTGTTCCAGATGAGCGCGGTTGGTGATAGCGGGCACATCAGCTTTCGGGGTGCTCCATCGGCACAAGGCGCTTGCTTTCATTCTGCTACCTAAGCGCACACCGTTTAACGCCGCCGCGACAGCGCGTCAACGGGCGTCAGCCGTCTGCAGTAGGAGCGTACGCTATAGGTTATTATATGCGTGATATCTTTCCTTAACGCCTGTCAGCAGTGAGCTCTTGGTGACCAGACTTGGTTGGTAGGCCCGGGAGTGTTGTGAGACTTGCTCGGTACGCGGTCAGAAATTGCTTTTGGATCAGCTTAGCGTGTGTATTCCGGCCTTTTGTTGTGATGCTGAGTCGTCGCGTGACGGCTGTGAAGCTTTACGCCGGCGCCGTGACCCCAACCCTCCGACGTTGTGACCCCGGCCCGCCGGCGCCGTGACCCCAACCCTCCGACGTTGTGACCCCGGCCCGCCGGCGCCGTGACCCCCAACCCTCCGGCGTTGTGACCCCGGCCCGCCGGCGCTGTGACTCCAACCCTCCAGCGTTGTGACCCCGACCCGCCGGCGCTGTGACCCTGACCCGCCGGCGTTGTGACCCTGACCTGCTGGTGTTGTGAGACCGAGTCGCTCTCGAAGGTGCCTTCCGCTGACCAATAACTGGTCGGCATTCTAGATCTGAAGGGGTTTGCTCGTTAGGGGTATGTCACCCCCAAGTGATCTGGCGGTGTCAGGCCACGACATGCGGGGTGTTTACATTTGACATAGTGGATATCTTGCATGTGACATTAATGTCTCCACACGAAATGGCGTGTGTGTGCGTCTTCCGGCCACATTATGATTATCGGACGTCACGTGTGGGTGTACGGGAACACGATGGTGCTTGTGCTGACGTCGCGGGTGCTCCCGCAAGACATCGCCGTGTTGTTTATTGGACGTGGCGCATGGTACCCGGTCTTCCAGTGTGACCCGTATCCGGGTGTGTCGAGACCTGTCTTCCCCCGATAGTTGGCGAGCTTTGGTGCGTCACTGGCCAGTTAGCAGCATTGTGCTCCGTGCCTTCCACTGGTTGTATACAGGCACGGAGGGGAGCGTTTGAACCGCCACGCCTGCAGGCATCGCAGCATAGCGTGCTGTGCGTCAGAGAACTGAGTAAGCGGCATCGTGGATGCTCGCCGATGTCTGTTGTCGGCTCACCAATACACCGCGTTAAGTGCCAGACTTCGGCCTCTTATTCGCTGCGATTTGCGGACGAAATATTTTGGTATTAGTGAAGGTACTCGTTACATGTGTACCTTTATAGAGAAAGAAATGCATAGGTGTTGGCGTACACATTTGCATACCTGTACAAATACTAACCGGGATGTGGCGTACCTTGCTGGGGTCAGTGAGTCTCAATGTCACCGTGGTGATTTTAAAACAGAAAGAAACAAAATTTCCGCGGATTTGTGGAGTTGATCGATCTTTAATCGGTAATTTTCGATGCATTTCCGTGGATCTCAGGCATCGGCCATGCAAACTGAGGTCGGCCATGCATGCATGTTCAAGGAAATTTCTCTCCGAGTACGCTACACGTTTGTTTTTGCGCTTCTTGAGAGCGGCTGTCAAAGGCATTTTGACAACACCGGGCTGGCATTCGTCGTACTGTCCGCCTTTTCCTGGTGCACATCTTCACTCTTCCCTGATGTACATGTCCACCTTTCCCTGGTGCACATGTCCACCTTTCCCTGGTGTACATGTCCACCCTTCCCTGGTGTACGTGTCCACCCTTCCATGGTGTACATCTCCACCCTTCCCTGATGCACATTTCCACCTTTTCGTCGTGTACATGTCCACCCTCCCCTGATGTACGTGACCACCCTTTCCTGGCGAACATGTCCACCCTTCCCTGATGCACATGCCCACCTTTTCGTGGTGTACATGTCCACCCTTCCCTGGTGTGCGTGGCTACTCTTCCCTGGTGTACATTCCCACCCTTCCCTGATGTATATGTCCACCCTTCCCTGATGTACATGTCCACCCTTCCCTGGTGCTGCGCAGCTACTCTTCCCTGGTGTGCGTGGCTACTCTTCCGTGGTGTGCGTGGCCTCTCTTCCCTGGTGTACATGTCAGCTGAAGACATCGCGTATGTTTTCATTGCATTAAGCGTCCTGCAGCTTTCGCAGCTCAACATCATGCCGTCGACCACTGGTGTCGAGTGTGCTGCAGGGCGAAGTCAGAGACTAGCACTCAGTCGGTCATCACCGCCGCCAGCCGCGCTCAGTCGGTCATCACCGCCGCCAGCCAGCTCACGACGCGCCGCCCATCTGGGCCCACCTGCCAGCCGGGGCGCGGGCGGCACGCGTCCGCGACGCCACGCTCCACACTTCGCTTACACACGCAGCGACCTGGTGCCACGATTGGTCGTCAGCGATCGGTGGCAGCTGTCGTCAGCGGCCGGCGGCAGGCACTCATCTGGCAACGCCGCTCACCCACCTGTGAGCTGCCGCAGTTGCTACGGGGCCCTTAGCGAATTGCTTGGCTCGATTTAAAGGAAGTTTTCACATTTATATGAGGCTTTGAACTTTAATAGCCATCTTGATGATCTCTCTGCGCTGTTCACAATCCTGCCCGACCTAAGACCTAAGCTCCTTTAGTTGTTGTGCTACACGACCACGTAAATGGGTACGTAATACGTCCTACGTAGAGAGAGAGGGAGAGAG